TATATATATAAACATCTCATATTTTATAAAACTTTTAAAATTATCGCATAATCTCATAAATATTAATATAAAAAAACCATCTCTCCCCTTACCGTAATATTCGCGTTATAAGAAAACATGCAAAAATATTTTTCTTTTATATAAAATATATACTATATGTGCCTGTTATTGTAAACACACTTATACGTGTGTCTATTGGCACATTATTATTTAAGGCACTAGTAAATTGCACTTCTTAAGTTGCACGTTTTATATAATATAAAACATATCTTAATGATTATTATTAATTTTTTATAATAATAACGCCATTTTCCTTTATTTTAATAACAATGTTAAAATGTGTTAAAAGAAACATGTGTATGGAAACAAGAAAATTATAAAAACAAATTATTAAATCAACGAATATATAACGTAGTAACAATTATATACATATAATATTAAAAGATTTTACCCTTACTTTTAGCGTGGCACATATATCGAAAACTGAATGTTTTCATAAATTGTACTAAGAGTAGCGATCTCCACAATCTTACTTTTAATCTCTCTTCGTCCTTTCATTCTTTACTCAATTCTAGTAGATATATATACATATATATATATGCGCATTAAATACTTTTTTCAAACTTATCAATCCCATGCGGCCTAAAAATCGAAATCTTGTAGATGCTCGGCACTTTTGCATTTGTCCGAAAGATAAAATTTGTACTCGCAATGATCATAATCTTAGAATATCCAGTATAACATACAATTGCACAAAATTTTCGTATATCTTATATCTATTTCTCGCTATCTCGTCTATGATACGTAATTATATAATAGATGAAATAATACATAATTTCCTTAAAAAATCCATAACTTTCTAAAGAAAGTACAAAATATGATATCTAATGATTTTATTTTCAATTGGTAAAAAACGGAGTTAAAAGTGGCCCAAAATTATCGAATATATTTGAATTCAATACGAATTCGATTCATGTACTTTTAGACCGATCAAAGATCGATTACTCGTATTGCTCTATAAGTATATAATGGCAATATAATACAATGACAATAATCATTTTTTTTTTACTAATGCATTTATATTTAAAAGAGAGTATTGGATTAAACCAGTATATAAATTAGTATGTTTCGATTATGTTACAAATATGGCTTGATATCCAGATGGATATCGAGGCAAATAATATTATCAAGATAAAGCATCAGCTATAGTACCATAAATCATCGATAAAAATTTGTACACGTTTCAAATACGAATAATTTCAAAACACAATTTTCCAAATACATAAGTTAGTATTTTTTTTGTTGTATCATTTTAGTTTATATTTTTCTATATCCGCGATTATGTATATTGTAAATATAATATATATTACAGAATTTATTTTATATTATATCAAAATTTTGATTGTCTTTTTGCCGCAATGTTGCAAAATTTCCAAACCTATTATATATTTTTTTATCTTTTCACAAGACATCATAATTGTCTCATTTACGTATACTTGACAAATAATATACCTATTTTATAAAAGTTAGCTTTCGCGCCTTATGTTATTTATATTTTTATAAAATAAAATCTCAAAAATTGTTCAAATAGTTTTCGACTTTATCAGCAATTTATAACGCTCGCTGGCCGGATCTGAAAGAAGTGTATATCGTGTTAATTTAGAAGTACATCGTATTAATTTCAATTGTCAAAATCGTAAGCATAACAACATAAGCATTTACCTTTGATCATCTCGACGAGATACATACTCTCGTCTTTCATGTTTGCTACCAACTCGTCGGTGACCAACACGTGTATACCCTGTGGCCCTAGGAACAATATCGAGTGCAGTCGATCGTGCGATAAGTTTAGAGTGTTGAGCAACTTGTTCGTCAGCGCGATACTCGTGAGATTGTCGAGGTAAGTGACTCTCCAGAGCGAGCCGTTGCCTTCCAACGAAAAATAGAGGGTGAGCTTCGGAGTCGGTGCCTTGGAGTGAAGCGTGTTAAACAGCCGAATGCCATCCGCCACTCCGCAGATCTGGATGAGATCCTCCCGAGACAGACGTAGGATGTCCGACGCGGAGAAGCTCGCGAACGTCGATTCGAACGCGTTGAATCGACTCGCGCGAAGCCACGCGGTTGTCTGCGTGGCATTCGCATCCGGTGATAACTCGGTAAGACACGGGGTGCCCTGCAAGATTTAAAATAAAATGGTTACGCAAGGATAAAAGCGATGTGGATAATTTTATTTGAAAAATTATTTTTTCAGCGATTATAGAAAAATTTAATTAAATTAAGTGGTATAAACAAAAAAACAAAAAAAAAATTGTTGCTATACTTTTTTCATAAAATGTAATAAGATGTTCTCCACTTCATCGATTTCTTTTATGCATTCAGATACGCATAAAAAAAAAGCCTAAGAAATAAAAAATACAGGCTTGGAAGGATCAGCTTATTTTACAACACAAGAATAAAGATCCTTACTGTTCTCATAGACTCGATTAATTGTTGCGGAGCTTTGTGTGCGTGCGTAGCCAAACTAACATCGGCTTCAATGCAAGGCTGGTCCGGCAATATTGCCGCAGGCGACGGCAAGGCCGGCGCCGTTCCCACGTTTTCCTTCACGGCGTCCGAAGCGGGGACCAACGGTACGATACCGGAATTAGAAACCGAAAGTGCCAGCGGTGCCACTACCGGGGAAGAATTGCCGGCGATGGTCGAGCGTGTCCGCGGCGATCTTAAAAAAAAAAAAAAGAGATAACGCATATTAATTACCTATTAATAAATATCTTGAAAATCTGAAAATGCAATGTAAAAATATCACGTTTTTTTTTATTACAGATTTGATTTTATTACAACAAATTTGTCACGTCCGTTATTTGCGATAATAAACGTTAAATGTATATTGTAATCATTTCTTTCTCACGCGCGATGATTCTTAGATGACTCCTCTGGCATATGGAAATTTTTCCCGAGATACAACGCACACGTAAAAGGATACTTTAGACTCTGTCGCGCGCGTATTCGTTTACTCTGGCGTGTTGCAAAATATTGGCGACTCGTCGGAGAATTATCTGCCTTATTAATCGTAAAGGCGCGACATAAATCGTCGACGACTGACAGTTATACGTTTAGCTGAATATTTTTACAAAGAAACACGGCACGAGTCGCCCGAGGCATGTGTCTCGCGAGACATTTTTTTATCAAAATAATTTCGCTTATGATAATGAATTCGCGATCTGAAAAACAAAATGCAATAAAATCTGTCTGAAATATTTCAAGTGTCAAGTTAATAAACGACAATGAAACGGATGAATGAATATAACGTGTCCAACAATCACAGCACTAATTGCAGACACTTCAAAAGAAAAATGATTCCTGTCACATAAAACAAGGAAATTTACTAGTGACTTTGCGATTAAATTTTTATCTTCGCACATATTGTATCAACTATTACAAATGTTATCGCATCGAACAAACATTCGACCTTGCCGATTATGATACGTAATTTTATAAATCCCATATTTAAAATCTCTAATTCTGTTTTAAATACCTATTTTAAGAGCCACGTAAATGCAATTTCAGTGAAATTTTATCAACTCGCGAGAGATAAAGATACAAAATATAGTAAGTATTGAGAAACCATCTACACAAGTAGATACTCGTGCATTATATAAAATTTAAAATAAAATTCGATTGATATTTCACGTGTAACATCTCTTTAAAGGTCAATATCCTTCTCCGTTCGTATTTACGATATTTAAATTCGTCAAAATTTCTAATCTTTCAATCGCAACCGAGAGAAACTATAAACATTCTTTCGAAAGAAATCGTCAGCATGTTCTTACACAGAATGTCTCTTCAAACGAACTACGAGCTTGACTTTCCCGCAGCCGCTGTCAATTCTCTTCATGTCCCGACACTTCCTTATCCGCAGACTGACTAATCCTCCTCGCATAATGCATCCTCTCTTCATCCGCGCATTCAACAGAGCATGGACAAACTTGGCGACGACCTGCACGTGCGGTGGACCACCGCTCACGACCACCTCGTGCTCCAGAAGCCACGTGACAAATTGATCGAGCGGGTAGCGCGGCCGTCTGATGGACCAGCAGCTTCTCAGGTCCCAATAATTCCTCGACATATCGGGCGCGCTCCCTCGTTACGATTAAAAAAAAAATCCTTTACGGTAAATTCGTTTTCTCCTTGAAGGCCTTCTTCCGACTCCTCACGCGCTCATTCATAAACGTCGTACACCCGCACGCTCGAACCTTCGATCGTTCTCCCAGCGTCTTTCCATCCATTCGTGCTCAATGTTATCGAGATGCTCTTCTCGAATCCGTCTGATCGTTTCGATCTATGTGAACTGATCGCTTCGATAACCGTTTGCCTTCATCGCGCGTGTATTCAAAATTGTATGATATCAGATTGTCGTCTCGTATTCGCGGTAACGTGTGCGATGTTCGTCATTCAACAACTGAACGCCTCGCTCGATGATTTCGGGTAGTAGAGAGCAACTCTGATTCGACCGGCAGATAGGATCAGTTCAAGTCAGTCGGATTGCATCGCTCTGCCGCGAACCGGATACCGCTAGTTGCCCGCGACATTCGTCTCATCGGCAAGCTCTCTCGAAATTATGACCTTCACGGGCGATAGTCTTTCTCGAATTGAAATCTCACAAAATCATGTGATCGGTGTGTCTCAATTTTTCTTTTTTTCTTCTTCCTCAAATCAAAATCACGTACGATCGAGCAAAACGCTCGACAATCACTCGCGATTCAATTCTGTGACCAGAAGGATGAAATTTCGTCTTGCGCCTTTCCTGGAAAATCCAAAAATCTTTTGTTTGCTTGTCCGATGCACCTCTATGAAGGACTGAACTTTGTATCCGCGAGTCTACGATGTTTATCCTTTTGAGACGCGTCGAGTTTAATTACAATGCCACATGTGTGCCATAAACGCGCACTTTTCTATCGCCTTGTAAAACGCTCTTCGATGCGTAATATATAACCGTGTTTCTCTGCTTCCAGGAAATTCTCTTCTCTAAAATTATAATTCTCTTTCATCCATCGTTATAACGTGGAGACGCGCGTAGAATGTTTCGAGTATAAAATGAATTCAGTCCTAGAATCAATTTATGTACTCCAGACTTGCGCAATTAGTTTCATTGGCCTTCTTCATGCAATAAGCGATTGTTACAATCAGCTGTAATTTACTATTTATTTTCTTCTCAAGGTTAATTCGTAGACTTCACGAATCTAATTAAACTTCGAGCACGAAGCTTAACTTATACTTTTCCTCGATCCAAGAAAATCTCTGTTCTATCCAAACCTCCTCGGAACTTCCCTTGCATCTATTTTCTTCTGACTTCTCAAAATAGCAAACTGATGTTTTTTTTTCAACAGCTTCTCAGTGGTCGGGGAAAGCAGGAAATGTCCTAGTTACGAGACTCAATTTAACCGCCCTGGCGTCAGCTTTTCGGCGGCAGGGCTGCTCGTCATCTGAGGAGATGATCCTGCCGGGATAGGAGCACGTAAATGGCCAGGATATCGCGTGTTGTCACGGCGCTTAGATCGTCAATCAATGCAATCGAAAGTGCGTATGGCACTCGGATACACTCTGTCGGAAGTAAACTGGCTGCTGCGACGGACGAAAGCATTCCTGGTGCTCGGTGCTCGTTCACGATATATCGATCACTCTGGCTGTCTAACAGCACTTCGCGAAGATCACTATCGCTCGAAGAAGATCGCTCGGTGCATCACACGTAGTTCTTGTTAAACGCGACCGCGAGCTGTCATGAGCTACTTGTCATAAATGATCCCGTCAGCTGTTTTATTGCATGATTAATGGATCGATTGCGTTGTGTTTTTAAGTTTTTTCTCCCAATAGGAAGCGATTACTTGTTTAAGAGACAGCGTAATATCAGGTCGCCCTCGATGCGTTTTGGAGTCGGATACATCAACAGCGTGAGATATAACCGTTCAGACGTATCAAACCGACGCGTCTTTCCCCCGAGTGGTCCGTTTCCTGTCGAAACTCACCTCGCACCGGAATATACCGGACCAAGATTAATTAATTCAGTTATCTTGAACGATAATTCTGGCGTATTCTTTTCCTGTCACCTGAGCGCGCTTTACACAAACCGCGTTTCGAGATACGAATACAGGAGCTACGATATACGAAAATGTAGATCTTCTGATTAGGATCGAATTCTGCCCGTTTCCTTCAGTTTTAATTAATTGTCGCAAATTTCTTATCTTACAGATAAGTAGTCGTCTTTGTAGATTGGAGCACTTTAAATGCAGACGGAGCAGTAAAACAATTAAATCGCGGATATAACGAGATAACTGGAGAAACCGATCAGTAGGTTCTTCGGCAGCTTTTCTCAAAATGTTTTGAGAACAAACTAAAGACTACCGGTTCGAAATGATACCGGTTCTCGTGCACGTGATGCAACGGCGACTGTAAGCTTCAGCCGTTTCCTTCCTGAATGACGCTTGGCTTGCTCGCTTCAAGGTTGCGCGCGTTCGACGAGATATCGATCGGGTTCTCGATCAGTCGCGTGTAAGAAATTTTCAATGCAGGTCGATAAACGTCACGAATGGATTACACGGAGAGGATGCCGATCACCGGTTTACTCGTAAAACACACGCGTTACGTGCTCAACGGTGGATCGACAGCGTCGTCGACAGCGGTTGTCATTCAAGACGGCGTTCAACGACGCGCTGACACACTTATCCTGCGTATCTTGGGACGTGGGTGCGTCCGAATAGATTCACCAGAATGGTGGATCGAGACGAGAGCAACGCGGCTACGTGCAATGTACGGCGTTCTGAATTTATTCGCATATACCGTGCCTCTCTTTCACCATATGCCTCTGTCTCTCTCTAATATTCTCTTTCTCCTTCTCACTCGTCCCTTGCTGGTTCACCCAACTTCCCCTCCATCGAGAGTTTGTCATCGGGGACGCCGGCTTGCGCCAGTTCGAGCCAGTTTGTCGACGGCGATGCCGGCGTCTACCTCCGCGTCCCTCACTTCTCATTCGACCACCACCGACGAGCAAACTCTTACCGAAGACTAACCACTGTCACCTCCACCACTTCCATCATCCTTCACTAGAATAAATCCCCACCAGTATCGTGCAGAGCGTCTGACAACATCGCAGTAGTTTCTGGTACACCCGTACTAAGAGTGCATAATGTTCTCCTTCTTTCCTTTTTAATCTATTTTTAGACTCTATTTTTTTGTCTTAATGAAGCAAAAAATATAATAAATGTCGATAAAAAACAGATAATCAAAACCATCAATCCTTTATTTCAGGAAGAAATGATGCATTTTTTTTTACGTTTGTCATCTTTATGATTCTAGAATAAGAGTAGAAACACAAACAAAGAAACTTTTCGCTATTGTACTTCAAAATTTTTCCGATATGATCTTGTTCTTTCTCATGTTCAATTGTCTTCTTTTTGTTCTCGTGACGAGATAAAGAAACGAAAAAAGAAGAACAATTATAGATAAATATATATCTCTCTTAATTAACAATTAATTATTCTCTTCATTTTCTTTAATTGGTAATTTTTCATCTGACATTTTCCAGATATTACCAGAACATAAATAAAATGTTCGTAATACAAATTTATTTTTATTCATCTCGAATAAAATGAAGACAAAAGAAGAGAAACCGATTTCTTTTTGATTCACGAGGTAACGCGACTTTCACGGGAACCGCATTTACTTCAACATGCGTCGCAATGCCACCAAGGTCGTGGCGATTGCTTGGTAGATCGCTTGGTTACAACAAGCATGTATATAAATAACTCGTAAAGGCAAAAACATTTATCGGGGGATACTGGTCAATAAGATATATCGGAAATGTTTTGCTATTTATATCCCTGGAACAGGTATCTCTCGAACACCATGATGCAAGGACTTGCACAATTGCTTATTGCAGCGCGAATTAACACGATATATCGAAAATTAAAATCGAGATATAAAGAGCTATTTTTTAATAGAGAACATAACGATGGTGTTGGATTTTATATAGATTGAATTATTGGCGACATCGTGAAATGAATTATCACCGTAAAAACGAAAAAAATCGGTTGCTCGCACTTAAGTTTGTACATAATCACGCGTGCAATTATAGTTTGAATCGAAAATCAAAATCGAGATAGAAATTAAAAGAGCTATCCCGTAATGAAAAATATTACGATGATGTTGGATTTTATTATATATAGATTGAACTATAGCCGATATCGTGAAACGAGTTATCACCAGAGTAAAAACGAAAAAAAATCGATTGCTCGCTTAAGAGGATGCCGGACCGTCCTGTTTTACCGGCCATAATAATTATATATTGATATCTATAATCAACAAAAATATTTCGCAATCCTACTAATATTCGCATTCTGTCGGTATCCGGCATCCTCTTAAGTTTGCACATAATTACGCGTTTAGTTACATTTTGTTTTGCACGTCGCTATTTTCAGAGGAAACCGAAAAGTCGCCGTCAGTGTCGAGTGACCACGAATCGTTCGACAAAACGAACGGATTCGTATATAGGTAAGTGTAGTGTATAATAAATTATTACGAGCATTCGAGATAAATCTTTTTGCCTAATTTATTATTCGATTTATTATTCGATTGGTCTCGCGTCACGTACCAAAACATTAAACAATAGGAATAAAACTGGCGATACAGTAATCTGTTATAAACATACTTAACTGTTGGGCAAACGTTTGTGAATTTTGTAAGCTTTATGACGTACGGATCTCGCGGCGATTAGTCTTTTCCTTCTACAAATACCGGTTTATCGTGTTTTAAAATGTTTTCATGAAGCAATATTAATGCTATCTTTATCTTATACGGAAAATCTCACGTACTGCTAATACGCTATCGTATTATATCTCTCCATTGTAAGTGCAGCTCTGATATTTTACAGCAATAATGTGAAAAAAATAGAAAACTAAAAATAGACATTGGAGTTTCGCAAACCTAATACGCGGGCTCTTAAAACTCAATAGGGATGTGAAAAACAAGAATATTAAAGAGACGCGTAAAAGCTGTTGACGTAAAAGATGTAATCTTGAGTTGACAGACTAATGAAACCAATTATAGTAGCGTGAGACAGTACTATTTGTAATTACCGTACCTTTTCAATGATGCCCATATTTAACTCTAGACATTCCGCGAATGTTATGTACTCTATCAGCTTTATGCATTCAGCATTTACGTCTGCTGCGCGTTAAGCTGTGAGCCTTCATTTACTCATTAAAAATACCTACTTCCATAAAGATGAAAAGCACGATTCCATTACTGAATTTATTTTCATACAAAGTAAAATGCTGTTGATCTGCATCGTTAAGATCAAACGTAATATAACTGGTAAATATTATTGTGCAAAATGTTTTTTTAATATTACATCTCTGTTCGATAATAATATTATATGTGATTTATATAGACAACACATCATTTTATAAACTTCAAACTTTTACATAAGCGGTTTTTTCCGAGTGTCACAATTTTTCATCCTATGACGGTATGGCGTTGATTTTTATATTTTTTATATTTTATCTTCAGAATGCAACGACAATTTAAAAAAAAAAATATCAGCAAAAGAATGACTGTAATAATCGACTTACATTGCATCTGTTGAGGCGTACGGACTTCCACCGTTTTGCGTCGGCAAGTTTGAGGGCGATAAAGACTCCAGAGGAATCTGTAATAGAAAAGATAAAGTTGAAATCTCCCTATAGAGAAACAAAGTTCTAAGATTTATTTCATCAGCGTTTTGGTATTTTTCCATTTATACCGAGGAACATGTTCTTCGGTGAAACTTACATCGGAGAGGACGGTACAGTCGTAGCTGGGCTGATATTTATCCTGCTCGTGAAGAGGACGTCTCAATATCTTGTCCCGATCCTGCTTGTGTTTGCGATCCGCTCCCTTCAATTTGAAGACCTTCACCTGGCACGAGGCGGCGTGTAGACGCGGTCCCCCTGGCAGTTTGGTCTCCACTTGAATCCGAAAGGGAACGCCTTTCTCGCCACCGTGCTTCTTCGGTGTAAACTCGGTGCTTATACAATTAACCTATGCGCGAATGATTTTCATCAAACTATCATCGATGATATATTCCGGAGAAAAATATGTGAAATTTTATTGGTAGAATTTCATGGATTTTTTATAATATTTTTCCTTCAATAACATATTTAATTACTGTATAACAAGAAAAATCAATCACACGTCGTTGCGAATTATTAAGAATAAAAAAGATTTAATTCGGTTAGCGTACTTTAATATAAACGCCGACTTCTTTCGTGGGATCCCACATAAACTCTACGCTATTGTTGGACGGCGACGGTTGACAGACATCCACCATCCCGTAGCTAAGAGGAACGTCAACCTCCAGCAATCTCTCCCCCGGCCTAGCACGTTGCCAGGCCAACATTTGTTCTCGTTCCGTATATTGCAGTCGGCGCTCGTGGAAGCAGATGCGTATCGTCGACTGGAACAAAAAGGTCGGATGTCCCTACAGAGACGTTGTAGCACCGTTTGGGCGACTCACATCTTTCGAACGTCGAGGATACGTGTGACCTCATGCCGATTATGTCAAATTATACTACGTAATTACCGTAATTGCGCGGATGGTTTTTATTCCACTCTCCCAGGACAAACAGAAGGAGTTAGATTTTTATTTACATAATTATCAGCGGAGTCAAGCATTAACTGGTCGTAGTTGGATCCATCTGGTTATTGTACGATTCACGGTGCGCTTCAGCGTCAACGAGAACCAAGCGACAATTATATCAATGCTTATAAAAATTATATAATATATAGCTTCCAAAAAATATTATTTCTTATACACTTATTCTAGATTAATGTATTTTAATAATTTTATAACTTAATCATATCGATTAATATGTAATTATTATTTCGCCGCATTTCTTTCGACTTAAAAAAATTAGTGAGATTCACCGGATCGACACTAGCATGAGCTCGCTCGTTTCCCTCGTGAGCGGGGGAGTACCAAAGCGTTTTTTAAGATGCAGCTACCCAAACATTAGAAGCGTCTCAATGAGCGTTCCGTATTTTAAGTGCGTGACTAAATACCTTCAGAATCTTCCCGCGATAAGCAGACAAATCGCCCAATTTTTTCAGTTTGATCTCATACGATTGTCCCTGGTTCAGATACGTCAGAGTTTCTTCGTTAACCTTAGTGGCGATGCTGGTAGCGGCTGCTAAGACGTACTGGAAGCTGAAGGAAAACTTCGCGATATATAACTTCATTTAAATATAATTCAATCCATTAAATAAAAATTGAATAATAGTTGTTTTTACTGTCGCTGTATTAAAAATGTTAAAACATTAATATTTATAAATATTTACATAAATATTTTATTAAAATAATATAAAAAAGATTCTCTTCGACTAAATTTAAGCAGAAGTTTTAGGATCTTGCTAGCTGTTTCTGTCAAGGATTAAAAATTGCATATATTACGAGTAAAAGTTGTACATAATTCTTTATACAATATTATTGATGATTCAAATTGCTAACATATATTGTTGATTGTTTAAATTAATGTTTAACAGCCTACCGGCAATCCTCGTTCAAATCGTTTCCTTGCTGAGAAGAAGAAACTTGATTGGCGGTCGAAGTTGGCGGATACTCCTCGTTCGAGGAGTACAAGAGTTGATGAAGACTGGCGGCGGCTTGGCCATTGTTGTTGCTGTCAGCCTCGACGGAGCCGATGTTTCCATTGTTGGATGCTGTTGTAGTGATCGTCCTTTGCGACACGTGATTTAAACTGCAATAAACCGTAAAATATAAATACTACGAATTGAGACTGTATCGATATACGAGATCGGTCGTCCCCCGCACGAGAAAGGTATATAGAATGTTCCATGGTCAATATTGGAACCACTCACTATAAGTTAAAGAAAAGTGACGGTGAGACATTCAAATCCACGGGCGTTCTCATTTTCGCTCGTATTCAGCAGAAATTTTCATTCGAATCCAACAAACAGGAGTCTCTGCAAACAGTTCTCACCGCGAACACTTATCACTTATATACCGCGCGCATATTACGTAAATCGCTTTGTCGCGTTCTCAACACGTTGTATTAGCAAGAACGTGATCGCAAATGAAGAATCACTACTTCGCGTGTCTATGAGTTCGTCATTCGTCTAATCAGCTATTCCCGATTGCACTCGATTTTCCAGAGAGCCTCCTGATATATTTTTTTAATCTACTTATACCCGAAGAATAAACACAACGAGATCACTGGACCGACCTCTCGATTTCATCGTTCCACATCGATACGATAAATCGCACGCGATTTATGCGACGCTGATGCGGCGATTCTCCCCGCTTTTTCGTTTATTCGAATGATCGCGCGCGCGCGGCTTTTCGGTTAGATAATAAATTTTAATCCAGATATTAATATCCTATATAAACCATCAAACAGAACAATTCAGATTTATGGAAAATATAAGTTTTCTCTTTTTTTTAGAAAAGAGAGGAAATATGTTGTATACACTTAATACGCAAAACCCAATAATTTCAACTGGATACTATTCTATGATTCCTCGATGATCAAAATTTAAGTTTTAAAATTTGATACACATGAAAAAATAATTATTTTTTCTCCTTTTCACTCGTGGAACTGTATCACACTATTCCGTTATTTCGGATCGTTTCTTCTACGCTTTATCACGATCATCCCAGTCGATCTCGGGAGGGAGGTGTCGCACACATGGAGCAAGATATCAATTCTCAATTCACGTGTTCGATGTTGACGTATCACGCACGGCCGATCGGTTGCTGCTTTACGGAGTAACGCGCGTCGCGCGATAAATACCCGTAATAGAGTAAGAAGTTTTACCCAAGCGCGCGAGAACGACTTACTCTCTCGATAGCTGGGAATGGGGCGCAACGATACAGTCTTATCTTTGTTGCAATGTCTTTGCGGGGGAGCCGCGCCGCGCGTGGCAAATTCCGTTCGAAATACTTTTTATCCCCGTCACCCTTAAGTCACCCCGAGATATATAAACATCGTCGTTTTCATATTGTAGCCTATATCATTCTATGTCATTATTATCATCAATACTCGTATTCGCGGACGCTACTCGCCTCAATCACTCGGTATAAATAAACAAGTGATGCAAGATGCAAAAATGAAAAATCACAAAATTAATAAACAATTAAAAAATAATTATAATAATTATAATTGAATCGCGACAACTCGAACATTCCAAATTTTCAACATAATTGTTCAAAATTATGATCAGTTTTCGCACATCATTCAAACTCAAAAAAAAGAAATGATTTTAATAATCTGAAGTTTTGACTTACTTGGGATTGTTGTGCTGATTCTCAGGCGATGGTGCCTCCTGTTTAAAGACCGTTAGCGATGGTAGAGTGAGGAGGGCTTCGCTGAAAGAAGATAACAAATTTTCCATCGTACCATTTTTCCTCTAATCCTATTCAATATCGTAGATATGAATACATCAAAGATTATCATTGTTTCAAAGTTATTTGTCAGACACGATGCAATTTCATAATTCAGTCTTTTTCAAAAATTATAACGATGATCATATAAGTCGTTTATAAATAAATTTGAGAATAATCTTGAAAATCGTACCTATCATGATTATTTAGAATTGCAAATATTTCATTAAGAAAATTTCAGAAAATTTAAAGAAATTTTATTTATCATTTGTTCTTTTTTTTTTTAAATTGTATTTGCTATTAAATTTATAGTACACGTTTCTTTTTTGCATAAATTATTTTATTTTGTTAAAACAATATTCACAACACATAAAACTAAAACAAGTTATTTGCTGGTTTTTATTTATCTTTTGATAATAATATAAAGATTAGCAATTAATAGTGGCTTATTTCTCAAGGCATCGAAAAAATTATCCCTTGCACGGGATAAGGAAATAATAATTTGAGAACCACGACGATAACACTGTGAGTCAGTAAGGTCAGCGCGAACCGGAATGAACTAGTTTGACGTGCAACGAATTCAATCGGTGTGAAATAATACGATAATGCGATACCATGTCAAGAGTCAAAATCTAACCATCAAAATTTATTTATGATTCACCGATATTTACGCGGTTGAGATAGCCGATCGTAAATTTTGCATAAGTTCGTTGCAATGCGACTTCTTCGCTTATCAATTTTCCTTATCGTATAAATAAATAATATAAATTCTGTTTTTTTATTTGACCAAAAAATAAACTAAATAAGAGTTTCAGTAAATGCATTACTTACCCAGATTTCACATACTGGTGCATTCCTTTATTTATGATTAAAAGATCACGTTGTTTACATATCAAGTAAATGAATTAAGCAAAGATAAAATATATGTATATACAAATTTATAGAAATCACTGATAATTCACTTCATTAAATATATGGTGACATAAGAATTTATCGCAATCTTTATGATTATTTATTAAAATGAGATATTAAAAATGGTATGTATTAAAAATTTCCAATTATAATTTTAGCTACACTAATTAAATAAACATATTGTGTATTTCCAATAAATCTTTGTGTTATTTCCGACAATTGCATTCGACATTTCAGTCGAATCGCACAATATTTAATATGTAGCTCCGAATAATAGGACGACCGTTACTGTTACTGACACTAACTATACGGCAAATTTTGCGACGATTGCAGGTAATTGCAGCTCAAATTCATAGAAAATACCGACACGCCGCCCAGAATAAACCGGTTTCGTGTACACGCGTGAACTGGTGCGTCACTTGGTACCGGTTCTTTACCGGATCGAACCACGTGAAACGTGCATCTTCATTCATAGACGGATACGCGTGCCTCTCATTTTTCGCACGTTGTGTCATAAACTTCTATCATGTATATATACGATATCAGCTGATACACGCGACTCGACGATATCGGTTGTCTGGTCAAAAATTGTTATCATTATTATGAATCGTGTAATTTTGTTTATCGTGTAATTTTGTTTATCGTGTAATTTTGTTTATCCTGTAATAGATGTTTACTCTGCACAAATTTTAATTGCAGAATTAATGCAGAAATATTGATAAGTTATTGATTATTTGCATCATCATGTTAAATGAGATTTTATAAGAAGTTTTGCGTTAGAAATGCGCTATTTTAATTTTCTTATTTATTTATTTTAAAAAGAGTACGTAAGCAGATGGACTTTCGACGTCCTTCATAGCGTGAATTTATGATACGCATATTATATTATTGTGATAAGGTATACGTATATGGCCATTTTAATTACGTGTTCGTGTCTAGTCGTTCTAAAAAATTGTTCATATATAGATACGATATTAATTATAATCGCAATTTTCTTATAGTAAAGATAAATAAAAATAATTATTTAATGGAAACTTTTAAATTATATGTTTGATATATATTTTTATATAAATTAGAAATATTTACTAAAATATTTAGAAAAATTATAAATAATATTTTCTACAATATTAAAGAAGAAATGAAGGAAATTTACGGAATCCACCGACTGCATTCTTTTTCGTGCGCGTTAAAATGCTTCGCGTACACTCGCGCACGTGCGTACACACCGATATTCGTGATCGGGGCCGACCGGTTTGATTTTCTCGTGCGTGTCGCCGGTACGACGCAATGCCAAGAACTGTGGCCAGTTTTAACCGGATTTCTAAATCGACTCGCGTTGCTGTTCTGCATACATTTTAATTTCGCTTGCGGTAGAAGCCTACGATACCGACCACGAATTTAACAAACGTGCGCTGTCGGCGGAGAATTGTGTCGATTGTATTGTCGAGGCATCGTGAAACAGATCGCCTAATTAGCATTTTGCTACAATGTTTATTTTTAGATCTGTCACATCCATGATGCATTCTTCGATCACAATCACGAATTGTGTCATTTTCCGTGCAAGATTTTGTGACTTACTAAAAGTCATTTTGATGTACAAATCGATATATATCTTTCCGGAAGCTTTGAGCATCTTACCTCATATTAGTGTAAGAGGCGACGGCTGTTGCGAGATCAGAAGCCGCGAGAGCAGATAACGATCCATCGAAATCAGCGGCGAGGTGCTCCGCGAGTTCCTCCACTTGCGTGGACCAACCTTGACCAGAGCCATTGCTCCCGATGGATCCTGAAACGTGAATCGAAGGAATGCAATAAGTGTTTCTTCCAAGATCTTTTCAAGTTTCTTGTTTCCTTAATTTCATATTTCCTTTACTTTAGTGTCGCACGAGAAATAATAAATGGCTACGGAGAAATTTTAGATACATCTATTACAGTTGTTACAATTTCTTACTTTGGCTTATATAAGTAAATAGACATTTTTATAAGTACGGGCTTATTTTTAAGAAAAAAAATAATTTTTGCACAAAAACAAAATATTTACAATTTGCAAAATAAAATATACAATTTAGCTACTTTATTTAATTACTTTTTTATTTAATTACTCTTTATCCTATAAGAAAAAAAGTTTTAAATTGTACGTCGTCTTATACTATTTTTTATCTCGTCATATCGCCTTTTTCGAGCAATTATACGTGGCTATCAGTGCACAGCGTGAGACTCTTTTCGCGAGACATCGTACCGCTTTGAGTACCGTTGTAACCGACATGAAGCTGTTGATGCATCGTGATCGGTTTTATATCTTTCGTTTCTTGAGCGATGTGACGGTGCCGGCTCTTGGTAGAGACAGGGGGATAACGTCGACTCTCCAACAGCGACACTCTGGATCTATCAATCTCACACCACTTCATCCTATTTCGGCCGTAGCGAGGATCACAGGATCACACTCGTACAGAAACACACCACCGAAACTTTATGTGCATGCTCTTTGACGAAGTACCGCGAGTATGATGAATTGGTATCAGGCTTCTCTCTCTCTTTCTTCCTCTTTTTTTGAGTACGCTAATCTGCATTGCTCGAATATATATATGTGTGTGTGTGTGTGTGTGTGTGTATGTATCCGAGTTATCAGCCACGTGGGTGAAAAGGCGTCGGATGTAAGAAGACAGAGCGCAGAAGTTTGCCGATCAGTCTTGAGGAGATCTTCAAAGCGACGTCACTTGAATTGCACATCACATCATCGTTGAATCTTGACCGTTAATCAAGGCAAGTACAATGACAATATCAAACTTTTCGAATATTGTTTTAAACAATTTACAGCGTTCTATGTTCGCTCAAAGCGGGTTTTCCTAAATAGTCAAAATTCTGCGCTAGCAAAATTTGGCGATGATTATTATAAATCGCAAATACGTCAAAAAAGCTATTGTTTGGACCGCATAGATTAATTATATAGTAATGTTAAATTATAAAAAATTCTGTCACACTTATTCGCTAAACGTATGATACGTACCAGGCAGTGGTTTTATCTTAAAAATAAAATTTTAATCCCTTGAAAATTTGAAGCTAACTGGAAACATCTGTGTATATGATACACACAAATATTTCTTATAATGAAAAGTAAAATTTGTAATGCCTTTTAGATAGTAAAACGAAACTACTCGTGGCTACGACAGTGTACAAGGGGTCGCTTGGTCACGACCTTTAAAGAGATATATCTATGTTAACAGCTACATGATGATGACGATTGACTTTGCGCATTTACAAGCAACATATTCCTTACATTCGATCCCAATAAAACACATTTTTCGCGGGAAACGAGATTTAAAATTAACATTTAAAATTAAATCTAATATCTCAAAACCCAATATCTTTGTTGAATAGTTAAAAAAAATTATTATTTTATATTTTTTTCTATCATTATTAATTTGAAAAATTTTTATAGCAAATTAAAAAAAAATTTTATCGATGTAACAAACATAAAAAATATCTAAAAAAAAATTTTCTAATCTAAAACAATTGTGTAAAATTTAATGGATCACTGAATTAATTCGTTATCGACTGTTTCGAACAAATTTATAACGATCGGATTTATAATCTGACTTATCATAGTTACTGATATGTGTAACAATTTTCCGTAGATTTGCTTCTTTTGAAACATTTTCACTAAAAACAAGATATTTAGAGACAGTATTTTTCAAGCTCTCTTGTTTATTTCTTTTTGTTGACGCATACGTGTCAAGTATATAATTGTCAAGTCCCGCCTATAGTTCCCACGAGCAGCTTTTACTTCATATAATGAAGACAAAGTATATATATACGCGAACATCATATCGGCTAATTAGCCGGCTGATCCAAATTTACATCGTATCGATAGGAATTACTAATTTAAGATGAAATAATTAATCATACGTGTGTGAATTAGACTACATACACAAATCTTTTTCTTACTATATAAATATTTGAGAAAATAGCTACGTGAAAAATACCAACCATCTCTTCTGATATGTTTCTTCTCGAGTTCTACGATACGTTGCAACGGTTCCGTAGAGCAGCGTTTCAGATTGTTCTGTTCACAATTCGGAGATGATTCGGAAGACGAGAGTGGTTGCGGGGAGCCATCATTCAAATGCATCTGATCACTACCAATCGGCGAATTTTTCGGTGAGTTATGCTTGTCTTGCCATAGAGAATTTTGCGGACTATGATATCCCATTATGGTCTGTAACATATTATTGGTTTATAATTACCATTTTCAGAGTCATATAAAATCAATACAAAGATGGCAAAAATTTCTTTTCAAAAGAAAGTTTTATTTCTGAGAAATGAGAGAATGATTTAAAAAATTTAAAAAATAAAAAGATTTTGATATAAAATTAAAAATATATAAAACAAAATAATTGTTTAAAATATAATTTTAGGTATATATATAAAAAAGGAAGGATTTATAATTTATTATAATATAATTGATTACAATATGATTATATGCCTATATACAACGAGACTATTCCACGTACCTGTTGAGGGACGGCTACGACGTCGCACCTATTTGAACGAACCGGCGACAATTGATCGTACGACGGAGACGACGTGTTGGCGAACCACATCGCTCCGTTCAGGGTTTCCGCACCGCCGTCCATCATGAGTTCCAGCTCCATTCAATAGCTCTTGTTCTCGGAGTATACGTGATTATAGTTAGATTCGTCGATTGGCGAATCGAGGTATTACCTATTGTAGCCTATGTTACTACAACACTAATAAAGGGCTCGCTTGCAACGAGATTCCCGGGTAAGACGAATATCTACGTTAATCTCAGACCTACGAAAGGTGTCTTCGAACGCTCTTAAAGAAACTCCGTCGGCGAGAATCAATCTTCTAGCGCCAAAAGATTTCCCTCTCGATAAAATGAGAGAACGCCTTCTTAACTTACACGAGAGCTTACTATTTCATACACTACATATGCAAAAAAAAAAAAAAAAAATTTCGTGATTATATGTGTTCCTCGGCGACGAGTTCGTAAGAGGCGAAACGAGTTCACGCCGATCTTAGATCTCAGATCGACGATCTTCGTCCCGGGATTAGGTCGTTCTCCAGCCGTGAGAAGTACTCATTTCACCGCGATTCGCCCTTCGTTGCAGATCGTCCACCTTGTGGGCACCCCCTCGACCTAGATCTTCGATATGCCCGGAAATACACGGTGCATCCGCCGACCGCCGGTGGTTCTCAGGGCCTAGATCGCCCTTCCTTAGAACATCACGAAGAAGCTGTTGTACAGTTTCTTGATGCCGGTGGTCTCGCGTTGCCGGTGCGTTTCCAAGAGTGCGCAGCCTCTCGATCTCAGTGACAAAAAACGCGTAAAGACGACGAACGCGTCCTCGAATATCATCGCCACGCCTTGGCTGCAACGCATCTTGTTCCTAGTTGTGTCTGAGTCCTGCTGCCGTTTCGGCGGAGAACCTTCTCCTGCAAAAAACAAACGCTCAATTTTGAGATAAAAGTGGTAGTCCGTGGACGCGCTGATTATTCTGTGTTTAACATCTGAGGTGATACGTTCAGATAGCGATTCTTCGTATTGCCTGTTTATTGAAACTTCAACAGCGATTACTTAATGCATGGATTGCTATATACGAGTCAAATTTAATTATATGAAAATTGTCGTACACTGAAACAAGTACAATTATTGTAAAAAATATGTACAATTTTAAATGCATTTTTAATATCAACAAACATTAAATATATTAAAACATATATTAAAATACAATAATCAGTCATTGAAAAAATTTTAAATAAAAAATTGCAAATGTGGTATGATATATTCAAACAAATGCATTAAATTCATTTCTTAAAATCATCGCTTTAACATCGAAAATATTTCATGCATTTAATTCATTGCACAGTATAATCTATGTTGCATTAATCATTAGACTAATGTTTATTCTCGTCGATCATATTTTTTATATTTCATGCTTAATAGTGCCTCCGTTTAATGTTTTTAACTTCACAAAAAACTATATTTGTAAATGTTTCCAAGAATATAATATTTTACTTTTGAATAATATCTCATATATTGGCATCGATTGAATAATCACTATGACTAAAACGAAAGCGTAAGTCTCGGTTCTATGGTAATCAATTTTTTTGTACAATCCGGCTTTATTATTCGTTTCACGTTTTTAAAAGAGAGAATTAATGTGAATTGTTTATATTTGTAGTTGAATGCTTATATAATAAAGCAGCTTCAATTTATCAACCTGTCAATATTAATAATCTATAATTTTTGCTGTTTTATAATTCGTAATTTCTCTTTCAAGAACATTATGTATGTATATATAAATTTTGATATTACGTTATGCTAACCTTCTTCCACGTTTTAGCGATCGATGCTTTCACCCTGGTGTCTCGTTCTCCTCACATAAAAATCGCTCGAGAAAGGTATCGTCTTCGTTGCGAAGAACGGAAAAAAAGAAATGTCAGTTCCACAGGTCCAAAAATATTCCTCGGGATGCAGACGATATCTCGATTATCTTATCAAGATCTCGCAATTGCGGAAGAACGGAATAAATTGTCGAAACTTGCACTTTCTCTTGAAGCCGAGCTAAGGACTAGACTGCGATTAAAATTGTAAAATTTTATTCACAGAGAAACGGCGATTCGAAGACGAGAATAATCCTTTCGAAAGGGATGTTGCTCGAAAGATTCCAATTGGCCGGATCTCCGAAATGCCTGTTTAGGCTCGGCGTCACGTCAGTATATCTCTTTCTAACGACTATGGCTCACACACTGGATAGTGTCTTGGGTAGCGGAGGCCTTCGCCTGACCGTTATCACCACATTTTCAGAATCCTTCGCTCCATGGTGGCGTCTAAAAAAAGAAACCGATCCAGGAGGGGGTGAACGAGGCTTTTCGTGGATGACGTCAATAGAATCTCGAGTTTCGTCCGCCGCGTTTCCCAAAATCTTCACGGCGGCGAAAAAGAGTTTGGTTCCTTCTGCGAGACGAAGGCTCTCTCAGCGGGACCAAAGGGTACCTAACCCTTTCCACGATACGTTCTTCCCTTTCCTTCTTGCAAATCGCCTCCGCCGTTACTATACGAAAAGACGTTAGTAGAGTCTTTCGAAAAGCAACAGCCAATAAAAGCGAGCCATTCAGTCGTCGAGAGTGTTGTATGTTATCAAAATATTTCCTGCGCAGTCTTCAAAGTGATATCGACAACGAGAAAGCACCGTAATCTTCTTGTATTAATGAGTGTAATTTCGTTGCAACTTTGACACTGTCGCGAAGATAATTTGCTGATGTCACTGTTTCGGTTTCAGCAGATATTTCTCTTCGAGATACGTTTTCCGAATAAATTGATTGATATATTCTTTGATGAGTATTCACTGAAAATCCATAGGCAATTAATCCTTCGTATCCTGAAGCTTTCGTCAATGGTCTTAGCTAGACGCAGGATCTAGCAGTTTTTTCAGGAAGAGAAGTAAAGTCCGGCTGGCAAGACCGTAGTCGGCGGATTACTTGACGTGAATGTTAGAATGTCCGCGGGTGATCCAATCCAATCGTGCTTCAAGAAATTAACAGCTTGACCAATAGGCTCCGCTCTCGAGGGTCGACTCTCAATTGGAACCACTCAGTGCTGATCAACGAGACGCGATTCTTTTATTCTCGAGCATTGTCTCGTTGTTTTGCGAGAATCCGTAATCGTCACCTGAGAATTTCAATGTACCAGAGATCCTTCTTGTTGGATTAATTAAATTTCTGATTATTAGCTAGCTGCAGTTTTGTGCTGACCGTGATAGAGCCTTCCAATTTATCTCACAAAGATGTCCTCTGCGTCTAATTTATCTTCTGGTCGCAGTCGTTGCAAATTCAAGAGAAGAGCAACTTCAAGTATCTTATTTGTGCTAGTTATCAGTTATGACGTCATTTGATCGTCAAAGATGCATTAGTCTTAACGTTATTACAGTGTGTATTGTACGAATCGTGCGTCTCGCTGCCGAGGATGCAAGCAAATCCTCCGGTCACCTACGGAGATCAGACTCTACTTTAGGACGGAACTGTTCGATGACGCGGTGTTATAATAATTTGCAAATTGGCGTAGTTCGCGACTGGCAATCAACGACGATGACTGCCAGCGTCTTCCCGACAGACACACCACTGCAAGAGCGACGAGTCTGTTTGTCGCGCGGATTAATTAGTTTCAAAACGTTATCTCTGATATCGTGTGGCTTTTCGTGCGTCGCGACCTCGAGAGTTCCTCCTTCCGCGCGCTTGTATGTAAGAAGGAGGATTTCGTTTCTTTTGTACCGCGCGTGTTTCTCCTAATAAACGTCACCAATGCGGTGCCGATGTGTCTGTCGTCGTCAGCGCTGCCACGTGCCGGTCTCTCAAAGAATGCCTCTCGAGGATGTTATTTCTCTATTAGAGCTCTTCTCGCACGCGCTCTGTTTATAGAGGAAATCAAGCGTTGTTTCCTGTAGACGTTTTTTCTCGATTGTTTTTCGATTTGCGCGTCAATCCTCTTCTGCACCGACTCGATGAAGAAAGTCTGAAACAAATAAAAACGACAGCAATGTTCATATGATCATGCTCTATTGAGAATAATAAAAATAACTTGGATAAGGAGAGATCTTTCGCGTAAAAATAATATTTCAGTTTTTGATTGTATTATCGATCGTGTATATCAAAATATAAAGCATACTTGTTATAACTCAAGACTTTATTGTGTAAAGTTTTCGTTGTAAGATTATGGTTCATCGTTCCAACAAGCGAATCTTCTTCATCAGCTATTGGATCAACGCATTATCGTCTTCCTCGTCTCGTAATTTACTGTTCGCGACTTCTCTACCTATCTCGCTCTATCCTCGTCTCTTTTCATGAACAATCGAGCAGTTCTTCTGGATGGATCAGCTGTAGTTTCGCTGATCGATGTCAATCCGCAGGGTCACCGTCATCGTGTACTCACTATTCGCTTCGTAGCGAATCGAATGATTCCTAGAACGCGAATATGCTTCCATATTGTCAAAGGAAAACCCCGATCCCACGAACGTTTTTACAGGAAATGATAAATTCCTTCATCAGGAGAATTATATCGTTCTCGCGTATTTTTCACAAAGTAGCATCAATAAATACTTTTATCATTTCTATAATCTTATATAAACAAAATAATGTAATTTTATTTTCAAAATTCATGGCATTCGAGCATTATGTTATAAATATATTATAAATTAACTCACTGAAGCATCTCTCTAAGCTTTGAATTTTACATCTGATGGACTTCATCGAAATCAACGATCCCGATCATCGTTTGCCCAAGCTTGTCACGATAAAAACCGTGGTTTGAATTATAACGTTAGAAATTATACATAGACAGAAAACTGGAAAATTAGCGTAAAATTATACCCAGCAAAAACAACCGCAAGTTATTCCCCGGCAGAATATTTAATATAATTTATCATTGTAAATATTTTATCATTATCGTGGTATAGAGGAAATTCTTTATTATTATTTCTTATTTTTTTATTATTAAATGTTTCTAAAAATAAATTTGCAATTTTATATAGAAGCACCCACGTATTTGATCAGATACAAGCTTGATTAATATAACTTTAAGGTGTCAAGAATTAAAACCAGTTCATGTTAAACAAACATTCATGTTGACTTATGCAAACAGCGAACATATAATATTAACATAATCTATAAGAACTATTTTTTGCGAACGCGTCGATAATTTGAAAATGCGCAATACCTATTTGCAAAAACGCGCGCGCAACGCACTCCGTCATGGCACTGACGTAATAACGTCAAATAAATGCTCTCTTAATTAATTATTGTCACCTTCCAAAGACCGCGTTGGGTGCTCTCAGGTGTCATTAAACCGTATTATCGGTCGGAATGTAAGTATTAAATCGCGCGACAATATTCATAAGAAGTTCACCAAATCATCTTTTTATTACGGCACAATGCGTACATTTTATATTAACTAAAGCGTTACACCAGATATCTTTTGCAACACGATAGATGTTATCTGTACACGCAATCCCCCGCTTGAGATCAGCATTTTGGTGAGAAATAATTGCAGCGAGCGTGTGTAAAAATTCCGTGAGAGAAAAAAAAAATCGGTAAATAAGGTTATATATTATTGTCGCGAAGAAACATTATTTGCCATTGAATTAAATAACGCAACCACCACGCAAAATGCGAATTAAACTGTATATCATGTCGATGATACACGCGGAATGAATTGTGCTTTATCGAGAAATCGGATGCAATGTGCAACATTTTCGGGCTTGTTTTACAATATGCGAATATTTGCGGAAAATTATATTTTCCATAAAGGAGTGACCCTTACGCGAATCATTGCTTCATATGTAATAATGGCCGATATTGTAGTTTAACTTAGCTTAATTAATTGATTTGATTTTAAATTATAGTATGAAATTTTTTCTTTTACATTATACATTTTCCTTTTAAAATAGAAAGAAAGTTTTATTGATAGAAAATAAAAGAATTAAATCTTGGCTATAAGGCTCAAGCACTTCGGAAATAAAGTGTCATCTTCGCACCGCAAGATAATACACTCTCCGCCATCGCAAGCAAGAGAAACAAAGAAATATATGTATAGAAATGATTTTTAAAATCTTCGGGAAATGGTGGCACGTCATGTTGTATGCTAGCAAACACAAGTGTTAATTCGCCGTGCACACCAAGAAATAACAGCAGATGCGGACGTACACGCACAACGTCAAGACGTCAAGGTCACGTATACGTCTTAAGTCGTTATGGCCGAATGCACGTCTATACCACGTGTTAAGTCTTTTGCGTCGTCTTGCTTTCGATTGAAATTATAAAACCGGTTGCAACGTGCGCGAATATCTAAACCGTAGCCGCGCAACCGATGAATCGAAGAGATAATCCGCCGCAGATGAATCTCTAAAATAATCCGCTTGTCTAGGAAACAGTTAATCGGAAACATCGAAAGATGATTGAATAATAAACACAATTATCTTTTCGGAATAATTACGAGAAAACGTTAAGAAAGTATATTGAATCAGTCTCAATGTATTGACAGGTGTCACAATTGTACTCCCTCTAATTGAAATGAATTTATTTTTTGTGAATATATACGTACAATATGTTGCGCAAGAGATAATGTATAACAAGAGTCTCATTATAATATCATTTATGTGCATAGGTAACATAAATCGCGCGCGGGCGAGAGATCATCAGTAAAAACGAGAAATATACAGAAAGCGTCGCATGCTTCGCTTCTATTTATATTTTCTTTTGTCCGACCTCGCGGCATTAACATCTTCAATTATTTCCGGAGACACTGCAGTGACCAATTATCCATGCGACTACACTTGACGCGTTATTATCTTCCACAATAGATTCATGTTGAATCCGTTATACAAGACTTTTGCGACCATTGATTTCTTCCACTGTTTGCCGACACTCTCGTTCCAGGATTCCACTCCAGACTCGATATCGATGGTTCAGACCCGGTACCATGTGCAAAACCGCCCTGGTGCCCAAGACGCCGACATTCTGATTGACCGCGCCGTAGAAGATCCGCGCGACTCTGGAATGCAGCAACGCCATGGCGCACATAGGACACGGTTCCATCAGTAGGAATACCCAATAACCCGTGCAGAGATACGGCCCACACTTCTCTGTAATATTTCCGCATTTTTCCTGCTGCGGATCCTCGACCTTGGCGCCGTCGTTCCTCCGCCCCTTTTGCCCGACCCGCGTCTCGAGTGGCGTTTGCATCGGGAACTTAAGCGAGGATAGAGACGTCGGGTAACAGAGCGGCGTTTCCTCCTCGTATTTTCTCTTGATCCTTCTTAATCGATCCTTGAAGTTCCGATCTTCAGTCTCGGTGTTTGAGTCTACCTTCTCGTCGCTGAGTGTCTCTTCGTCATCCGTTCGCTTCTTCGTGAGATCGCGGGACTCTTCGTCGTTCAAACGCCATGCACCGCCACCGTGAAGTCTGGCAACGAGATCCACCGCCAGCATGGCGGCATGCCACATGGGATGCCGATCGATCCTCGCGGCGGATACCGCCAGGATTCTTCCGTCCTCGGGATCGACGACCGCCGCGGCGCCGGTGCAACGCACGTCGCCGACCGCCTCCAGCTTGGCAGCCTCTATTACCAACGACATGATCCGCTCGATCGCGTGCAAGCAATCGTCGTCGAAGATCGAGCCGTCAATCAGGCTCTCGATAGTCTGGTCGGGATGGAAGTTCACTGGCCAGATCTTTGAAGCCTCGCCGGCTTGAAACTTTGTTCTCGGTGCCTTGGCTGGCACCTTCGTCACCTGGAATTTATCCTCGAATAGGGAGAGATCAAACCCTCGTTCCTTGAGTTGATGCTTGAGATCATCTTCACCGAGAGTAACGTCCTCCTCATCGTTTGCTCGCGACGATTCGCCCGAGCGGAGAGGAGCTAGAAGCAGCTTGCCGTTGGAACAGCGCTTCAGATGAGCGAATCCTGGCAAAACGGCGGATATACTTTGGATTGCGACGGACGTGTCCTTCCGTCGCTTCAAGATACCCACGTAAACCTCCTGCAACGGAAGCACTTCCGTGAAATCCGAGCCTAGAATCGGTTTCGCTGTCCAGCTTCTAATCGTGGTTTCCATCTTGCTCGCCTTGACACTTTTCAACGATGCCATTCTTCCTGAAAAGACGCTGCCTTCACTTATCGTTAGAAGATTCCTCGACGATGATGTTTGCAACGCGCTGTTCTATCTCACTGAGTTAATCATTACTTAACTAATCTTTATTAAGAAATTATTTTTTTCTATTATTTTTTGTGTAATTTGTTCGTAAGTTTAATACTCAAACTTGGCAAATAGTTTCTAGTTTAGATGTCACATTAATTCTTTTGTCTACAAATCATATAGATTAGCCTAATTACATTTTAGCAAAATAAAATCGTTTATATTACTTAAAAAAAAATTTATTTCGCGCAAGTATAGCTTTACATATAAAATTAGCAATATACAGTTATTCAATTTTAAAGTCACATTTTGTATTCAAGTGTAATGGATCTCCTGTCTGAGTAGAATAACGGCAAAATAGACACAAGCATCTCCTGGGCATTTACAATTCATAATTAGAGTTACTATATGGTTGCTATAAAATCCTCGAATAATATTTTTAATAGAGAGAAACATGTAGATTTCGTTGCAAATCATGAGAAGAACAAGGTCGATGATTGGCATTGAAATTACTTCGAAATATTAAACGATTGCGAGATCATCTTAAGGACACCTTCTCGTGTCACGGTCGCAAATATTAGTGAGATTTCGGCAAAAAAAAAAATGAAGATGATCCTCCGCCGGATAAGTTTTAACCGTGATCGAAACCGTACTCCGAGTATCTTCTGCGAAGAGTAAAAGCGATTTTAAATTGCTGTCAACTTGGGCCACGGTCGGATCGATTGTCAGAGTTAGGCGCAATTGTATGATATCGTCGTCCATACGCGAGGACAACACGTTGCGTTAAGAAGTTCGAAGTTCGAGCCAGTTTCCTTTAATTTCGATTATGCGCAAAGAAAAAAAAACAAGCATCGAATTTCAACGTTAATGTCTGATCACAATAAAGATAACATCGTTATTTATTACGCGTGATATAACGTGGGATGCGTCTCCGTCAACGAAATTGTTTAATCCTGGCATGTGAATACACATTTCAATTAATTCTAGCAAATATATATTCTATAAAAGTATACGAAATATAATAAGTAGAATTGCGAGAGATGTAAATATTTCTGAATAAATATTGAGAATTCGAATGCGTGTGCAAAGAAAAATTCGAAATTGCTATAAGGAATTAATTCGAAATTACTATAAGGAATAAATTATTTAAATTGATAAGCTTGTTATGACATAGTATAGAGAAATTATTACGTAAACATCTTTTAATCGTATAATAACTCACTATTCCCATATACAGTTTACAGATTGCAGTTGAAAGCCGGTATGCATCGTGTCACGCGATCGATCATAAATAATATCTGACAAATTCTTACGCAAAATCTTGATTTTCCAAGATAAACATATATGCGTAAATAGCAAATACGTTGCTGGAAGACCTACTTTGCACGATATATTAGCCGTCTGATAGCTGATATCACCATCATAATAACACATATATTCTGTATGTATCCAAGTTAGGGAATTGTGTAAAATTTTCCACCGCTGAAACCTGGGAAAAAGTTGCACAGAAGGAAACAATTGTGCATTTTAATCTCGTTAAAATTAAAATTGAATTAATTAATTGCTATTTGATAAGTCGATATATTATGTGAAGAGATAAAGAAACATTGTAATGTTTATGTTCATCAATCGCAATATTACGCAAGAGAAAAATGCGATCTTTAGCAACAACGCGTGTTTTTAAAATGTTTTTTGTTTTTACATGTGAAGAATATTGAAATCTGTTTTTATTTCCGGGTTTTAATAAACCTTACGATCTACACAACACACAGCGCGAGCAACAATCGTCGTCGCCGATTTATAATCTAATCTATTCAGTGTCTACAGGCATTTCTCGATTACGGCATGTTTTCTCACCGTCAATGATTATAATGTATGAGCAATTAATTTGTCATGACAATTAGTATGTTTAAGTCATTTTAAAAAATAAAACGCTGACGCACATACAGAAGAGGCACGCGGAAGCGATTATTGTGTTTTTTATTCGTGACAATTAAAAAACATGGTAATCGACAAAAGTTCCATTTCTCCATAATTACAATAAATTGAATTAAACGAAATTAACGGATACGCGGATTCTTGTGTAAAATAAAAAGTATTAAATTATTTTCGACACTCTTCTTTTTCGCATAATATTCGAATTATAACGACGTCGCGTTGATTCGAAAATTTTTTGCACATGCAGCACGTTCAAATTTCTCGCACCGCGCATCACCTCGGCCAAGATGGCGCCTGATTGCACATTCACAGAGCGTGCTCCTTATATAACGCAGAACGAGTAACACAAGCGAACGAGACGAGGAAAGCATACTCGATGTTTCAATCGCGTCATCGACGCATCATCGTTCGCGCGTCGCGCTCCGAAAGATCTGTCATCTGTCATATTTTCGCGTTTTTCCCGCGTGAAATCATGAGCAATCGAAGCTAGTTCGAACGCGAGCGGGAAATCGCACGCCTCGACTTCGAGGGATCGAGCGTTACAACATGTCCTCCGCGACCTTGAGTCGCAGACGTGTCGCTCGTAACTTGGTCTCGTGAGCTGTCAAAGTCGGCGATGCCGTGGAGCGATGAAAGACGTCCGTCCGTTGCGTCCGTGACATGACGTCGCGACGCCACGTGTTCGCCATGCGCGCGCACGCACTTTATTAATGAAATTCTTACCTGCTGTTGCTGCTGTTCTCTACTACTGCTGCTGCGGCTGCGACACGAAATGCGTTCTAATTTCTTCCTATTTTCCCTCGTCCCCGATTGTCGAATATTACGAGATTTACCGAAAATCGAGTTCTTCAAGCGCGTCGGGCTCTCGTTGACAGCGGTAACGTAACGCGCGGAAATGCACGTGAGAAATGCGCGCGGGAGTAATCTGTTTGCGTCGTCGCGGCGGCTCGCGTCTCTTTGTGGTATGTAGCCTGAGCTGTTTATCAGCGAGGTCTACGATGGCGGCGCCTTCTGCCGGCAAGATGAAAGACTTTGCGAGAGGCAGGGATACCCGGCCTCGTCGTCGGATCTATAAATTTTTGCCTGTAAATGTTCGCACGTGAATACCGGAATCTGAATTGAGTCGGTCATGGCCGGCTAATAAATGAATTCTGAAGAAGAGCCTTATTCGGTATAAATATACAAATTCTAATACGATATCTTTGAGAAGAGATAATATCAGTTTTCCATTATTTTTATTACGAATTTTTTATGTAATGCTTTTATTTAAATAATTTCTAATAAAATTTTTTTTATTCGTAGATATTTTATGCGTTTATAAGCTTTATACATATATTATATCAGCATTTGTTTAACTTTAAGATTAGGCATAGCTGATTCATGAATAACTTGCTCATTAGTATCTATATTGCGGAATACTGAATCATACTTCGCCGGGCACAAATATGATTGCTTTGGCATAGAAAAAGACGAAAGTTCCATTCTTCTTAAATTATTCTGCAGTTAAATGTATTTAGATGTGAAAAACGGATAGCAAAATATATACGTACGATTGCGTTGATTAGCCAGTCAATTATCATGCGAGTTTCTTTGAAGAATATGTCAAAACTTTCTGCTATATAGAAAGAAATATTATACAAAACATTGCAAAATACAAATAAGAATAGTTAAAATAAAAAAAATATAGTTCTATTATAATTTTAGAAATGATAAAAGTGTAGAAAATAATTTACTTTATCTGTGTTATATGATTTACATTATTAAATATTTTTATGAAACATTTTGTGTTGTTATCATGCAAAAAACTAACTGTTGTTTGCATGATATATAATATAAAATGACAATGGATTTATTTAATTACTTTAATGCTTAAAGTATAATATTAATATTATACTTAATGACATTTTATATATAATAACATAAGGAATACATTTTGAAATGTAATTGATTTACAATTATAATGTGTGGAAACATTTATTTTTTATCTTTTTAAATTATCAATTATTACAAAAATATTTTACAAATATTTTTAATTGCAAAAGTGAGATATATCTATTTTTGATATTTGTAAATAACATATTAATATTTGATACATATATATCTTCTTAAAATATTCTATTTTTAAATGTATCTCGATCTGAATGGATAGCAAAATATAATATGTATATATTCTTGCATTTTTTCGCCAATCAATTATCATACTAATTTTTTGGAAAAATATATCGAAGCTGTCAGCTATTAAGCAATGTGGAGAAAAATATTACAGAAAGCATTGTACAATGCAAATAAAAGTGGATAAAAAGCAATAAAAAATTTTACTATAATTTAGAGAAAAAGAATAAAAAAATGAAAGCATAAAAAATGAATATAGCTAATTAGTTAGCATAAAATTAATGTTCTATGTTATATTCCGCATTTCCTAATATTTATTTTTTTATGAAGCATTTTGTATCGTTTTATGCAAAAAACGAATTATCATTTGCATGATAATACAAAGTGATAATAATTATATTTAACTATTTTTATACTTAAAATATGATATATTATGTAATAAGAAAAGAGACAATCAATTTTATATATTTAAAATTAATAACTTATGTATTCTAAATATAGTTGACTTACGATTGCTATTGGTCCAAACCATTTATTCAATCACTAACTACTTGATATTCTGGAAATTTTACGCTGCAACGAATCTCATAAACCGTATGAGGTTTTAAATTTTCAAAACATCTTATCAATTCTGTTATATTTGAATATATTGTTTTCCATGCTTGTGGAATAGATAAATTATACTTGTAATAATTTACTTGTCCCTGTAAAAAATGCATTTATTAAAGTTGTATACCTTTCTTCTTTTTTTTGAATGTTAATAGATATTAGACTTCAAATATTGATTGCAAATTTTATTGAATTGAATCATTGCTTTATAGAGAAATAATTCAAAGTTATGATAGTAAATGTTATTTACTCTAATTCTGAAAAAATAAGAAATTGCTATTCGTTTATACTTGTATACCAAAATCATACAGAATTTTGTAGCAGATGTGAAATTACTCTGTACTTAATCAAAATTTAAATTTTGGCATTAGTAGATAGTTCTATTTGAAGCATTCATGTTAGCAGACATGAATAAATAAATATGTATAATCAAAAAAATACTAAAAAATAAAATAAAAGGTGCTATCTTTGGTACAAGTAAAATCCTACATCTTTTACTTGCGTCAATAAATAATATAATGGATATAAACTACGCTTACGCTTCATAATGTTTTGATGGAACCTCATCATTTTCTTTCGTGCGGATCGATGTCACAAGTACGAGCGGCTTGCTAGATGCATTTTGCTCAGTTACGATAATTACTATTTTATATAATTCGTCACATTTCAATGGGCAATTTCTGACACCACCATAAATCTTATTATCGCCAACGGTGAATATCTTGCCAGCGAATTCATTGATCTGTCATCATTCAAAGCAAATCATTATAGATATTTAATTTCAAAAATGTATAAAATAATATTATTCTATTAAATTATATTATTAAATTATTATTATTAAATATATATATTGTTATTAAAATTGCAAATATATATGTAATATGTTTTAAATAATTTCATGTCTTAAGATATAACTGGATTTCTTCAATTATTACTAAATTATTATAATTATTATATTTTATATTCTTTACTGAAAATGCCCAGCATAAATCTCATTATTTTTAACGTATACATACCGAAACTTCAGCGGCATGCCAGGCATATTTGACATCACATCCCTTCATGCCTGCATGTGGTTGTAAACTCTTAGGCACTTCTGAATGTTGTTCGCAGGGAGTAGAGCCTTTTACTATAATATGCATCCTGCTATCGTATGTATCATTCAAAATAGGAGGTATATTTAACGAGATTGTAGAGATAGACTTATCCATAACTTTCAGATCGCCATCGAAAGCTATGGTTGAAGGTGTTTGAATTCTCACGTATTTAAACTTGCTGGATTCGTTTGCAATTGTGACAGCTTGAATATAAATGAGGTACTGTGTTGACGGAAACAGATATAATCGCTTACTGTAATTACGCATATAATGTGTCACCGGATATTCATATGTATATATATCGTTATCTGACGATTGCAAAGCAAGTCTTTTGCTTTTCAGATTGGAGAAAATTTCTATTATCTGGATGCGAAAAAACTGTAGATGACCACCTGTCTTCCATGGGTGATGCCATTTTAAATCAACTACGCTATTGTTGTTTATTGTACAAGTGTAATTTGCAGGTGCATCTGGCGCTGAAATGTAATTTAGTTATATTTCTTATCAACTCGGAGCAATGTAAGTAGCATAATTTACGATACAATTCAAGAAAATTAACAAAAATATCCAAATAATTTTTTGTTCCGCATAACGTAAATTAAAAAAATAAAGATATTTGTGATTTTTTTAGCATTTTCTAAACGATAAGTTCTTATGATGAAAATATGTAAGTTTTAGTTTAAAAAACAAAGTTACAAAATATAATGATATGCAAAAATTATATTATAGATTATAAAATTATAGTATTACATATAAGAGGCTGTATAATGTATCAAGCTTTTATAAGTTTTAAAGATTGTTTGTTGAACACAAAACTTACTTATATTATTAAATGTTTCTTCATCCATAAGAAGCGAATCGCTTCGAAATTCGCTCGAAGGAGTAAATTCATCATCAGTTATAAAAATCTAAAAAAAAAATACAATTATATAATACATACATATATAAATACATGTATACATACATATATATGTGCGTGTGTGTGTAATATACAATATATAATATATATATAATAGTAGAAATATATAATAATAGGAATTTACATAATTAATTTATGTTTTTCAAACATATTGAGAATTTTATTTCTTTACCTGAATTTTCTTATCATAATAACATCTTTTTATCGGTTTCGAAATAGTATAACAGATGTAATTGTCCCACAATTCACAGAATTCATTTAATTGAACTAGATGATAATAATAATTGTTAGAATAAGTGTTATCTTCAATACAATATACAATCATATAATATCTGTTTGCATGGAGAGATGGTAATAGACTTTCCCATCTTAAATGTATCACTGCAGGTATTTGACGAGTATCAATTTCGACGATTTCCAGATTGTTTACTTTAGGTATAACTGTTGGATGAATTTTTACAATAGTAAAAAGAAAATTATATATAAATAATGTGTTAAATAATTATTAAGTAATAGATGTACAAACTTTAATAGTTTATAAATTTTACCTCTTATTGGAGTTGTGAAATGATATTCTTGGTAAGCGGAGGTATTTTCTGGACTCGAATAATTTCTTATTACATAAATTGTTGCCACGTATCGTGTATGACTGTATAATATTGGTTCTATTTCATGTAAATCAAGAAAATTGTGCGAAGTCTCTTTGGTTATATAATAGTCTTTAACACTACCGCTAATTCCACGTATTATTATTCTAGCCATTAATGATCCCGAAATTGTTGTGCAATTTTCTGGCGGGTCCCATGTTAGTTTCCATTTTTCCACTTTCAAGTGACTAAATGTTTCTGATGGTATTTCTATAAAGTTATTAATAGTTTATGTAACAATTTAATTAACATAAGATATACGAATCAGTATTGCTAGTTTGAAAAATATATTGTTAGTACTTTTTTTGGTTTAATAATTTTACATATACATATATGTATATATATA